GGGCAGGGCTCTGGAGGAGCCGCAGACGGTCCCGGAGGCGCCGGGGGTGGTAGTGCCGCCCCCGGCCCCCGCGCTCTCGTCCGGCGAGTCCCCGCCGCCCCCCTCCTCGCTGTCCCCGCTGGACGCCGAGAGCCAGGAGCGCCTGAAAGCCGAGCGCAAGAGGCTGCGCAACCGCATCGCCGCCTCCAAGTGCCGCCGGCGCAAGCTGGAGCGCATCGCCCGCCTGGAGGAGAAAGTCAAGGCGCTCAAAGGGCAGAACGCCGAGCTGGCCGCCACCGCCAGCCTCCTGCGCGCCCAGGTCAACCAGCTGCAGGGCCGCGTCCGGAGCCACCTCTCCAGCGGCTGCCACATCAACGCGGCGGCTCCCGGCCAGACCTCGGCAGCCTCCGGCCAGCCCCCGGGCAGGGAAGGACCCACAGAGCCGGAGACCAGTGCCTGCTGAAGTGACTGAGCCCTGGGGGGAGGAGAAGAGAGCGTGTCGGAGGCTCACTACTGCCTTGCTTTGCAGGGGGCAGAGAGGGTGACCCATTGAGACAAGCCTTGTCAAGGGCCCCGATAGAGACCAACTCAGCTACCTACTCTTTGGCTCCTGGAGGCGCCATTGCATTCCGTCTGGAAAAGGTATGGAAAGGCTCGGAGAAGAGGCTCCTGAGCCATGCATACCTCCTTCCTATTCTCTGGTGCCAGGAGAACCTATTCAGCAGCCAGAGAGAAGGCTGTTGTAAAGGGCAAAGGGAGATGCTCCACAAAGGGGGACCCAGGAGGGCTAAGAAGAGCCACAACAGAAGCAATTTCAGCTTTGGGGACACTTTCCAGAATGAAAGTTCTACAGAGTGCACATCTGTTAGCCTTGAGGGGGGAACGTCTCCATTTGTCCAGAAAGGCAAAATAATGAAAGTGACAAGTGATTAATAACCAGGTGGTGGTGGTGTTTCCAGGAGCACTGAACAAATACTGAAACAACAACAAAAAAAGTTGTAAAAGGAAGTGGTTTTGAGCTGCACCAGTTGATGCCATTCTGGTGGTCCCCAGCAACCTGAGGCCAAATCCTGCAGCAAGTGATCTTCAGAAAGATCCAGCGTTTGAAAATGTGCTCACTTTCCCGGTTTCTCCCTCGTCCCTCGTGTGTTCAAAAAGAAGAGCTCCGCAGATAAAAGATAACAGTATTTATGACCTTTTTGTCTGTGGTTGCTGGAAGTCCAAAGATCTCTTCAGAGAGCCCACCTGAGCTTACGGTGTGGGCAGAAGTTATCTTTGCTGAACGCTTTAGGTTTCAGATATTTCTGAACTTCCGTTTTGTGGTGGACAGTGATTAGAGCCTGAATAGCTTTTCTGCTAGGGGTACCAGGGATTGTTTTAAAACTCCAGTGGTTTTGACTGCTGGCTAATTTATTGCTTTTCAGTAAAGGGTATAGGTTCTGAAAGATGGATTGTGTGTGTCTGGCAAGGTGCATTTACATTGCGGAAATTGCAAGGCATTTCAATAGACTAGCAGTATTTTTAGAAAGAATTCCTACCGTTTGCCAGTGGATGCTTTTGTGAAATGTTTCTCAAAGAATTTGAGAGGGCTGTAGCTAATAACGGGGCTACTTCAGCCTTGTTTACAGAGAGACAGCTTTATTTTTCCTGATTATAGATGTTTATTGAGTTGCTAAAAGCTTGAGAAAGCTAAAATCTAGATGCCTAGGAAGAGTTTGTATATACTATATGAAATGTGGCAAAGAGAGTTTTTTTTAACTTGGTACTGAGAGCAGTCTGAAGATGATTAGTCTGCTGTACAAAAAAAGATGTTTCAGTGGCAGCTGAAGATTTCAGAAATGTGGGAGCATTTTTCCATTATGAATGATTAATACCGCAACAGAAGAGAGAGATTTTGCCACATAAAATTGATATATTTATTTTAAAAATTGTGTGTTAAGAAAAATAGGCTTTTTTCCAAAATTTACAAGCTTCGTATTTCTTGTGTCAGAGTAGACTTGGGGCATTGGCAGGCTTATTTATTGAAACTTTTTAGGATGTCAGCTTTTATTTTTATAGCAGATGTATAAAAGAAATGGTTTTGGCTAGAGTAAATAGCTAATGCTTTATCCTTCACTGTGTACATTCCAACTGTAATGGTTCCATCTGTGACTTTAGTGCTATCTACAGAAAAGGGCTCAGATTGGGTTTTTTAAATGATACAGATATAATTCCATTGTACTATGTTTTGAGTAACTCATAGAAATGTGGATAATTATTTTTTTCCAGAAAAACTGTGTAAAAACTATTTTCTTGCTCTGTTTCATTGTAAGGTATTTTCTAGTTCTAAGAGTGGGAGGAGAAAAAGAACATTACTGGGTTGGAAAAAATTAGCTGGATTTTGAAGTGGGATCATAAACTGTTGTCTCCAGTGCATCTTAAATTGAAGGTTGTGTGTGTTTTCTGGGCAAAGAGTGTCATGAATGCATTTGAGTTTTAATTTTTCAAAAGAGAGGCACATAGCTTGGATGAGTCTCCAAGGACAGTTTTATTGAGTCCTGTGACTCTTAGGATAATATTGATTTTCAGTTTAACCACAAAGCATCCTAGCAACATAACATTTGCCTAGAAATATGTCTGTTATAACTTACAATACTGTGTGCAGAGCGAGCAAAGTAGGGTTGCCAACATCCAGGTGGGGCCTGGGGTTCTCCTGGAGTCATAGCCGATCTCCAGACTACAGAAGGCGGTTCCCCTGGAGGAAATTGCCGCTTTGGAGGGCAGAGTCTGTAGGGTCAAATGATCCCTGCTGGCCTCTCTCACCTGGCACTGCCACTAAATCTCCAGGAATTTCCCAAGCTGGAGTTGGTGACCCTAAATGCAGAGTTATTTTTGTCCTCGTAAGGAGGTATTGTGACAATCCTGCTTAGTAAATAAACTTGAAACAAATGTACTGGGATGATAATATCCTGTGTCTAGGTTTGTAGGGGGTTCAACTTGCTTTTAAAGGTAATTGGTAATTCTTTCAATCAACTTCTATTAATTACCAGTGCTTCATCAATATTACTGTCTGTTACATATCACCTTAGCTGTAAATTGTTGCATTCATGCATCTTTTAGTTTTGGGAAATAAGACCAACACATAACCTTTATTTCTTCAGTTTGTGTCAGAAAAAGTGACATTTTAACAATCTCAATTTTTCAGTTAAAGGATATATCTTTTCTAGATGGTATCATGGGAAGAGGTATATCTGATTCATCAGCAATGCCCTCATCCTTTTTCTGCTGCCCTCGTTTTGGTCACTTTCCATTCCCTGCTTTGTGTATAGCCAAAAACAAGTATTCAAGTTCAAAGGGAAGGTAGATGCATGGTCTTACAGCTCTGTTACAATCAGTTATCTAAACTTGGTTTTAACTGCTTTTAAGTATTCAGGTGGTATAGCTTGAAATGAAACTTTCCAGCAAAACCTCCAAAGGATGTAAGCTCCTGCCGTACAACTGACTGGAATGTCTATATTTTGAACAAAGCTGAAATGCTTGATGTCTCGGTCTTTTCTTATTCTAGAATTAAATCTCAAAAGAGAGCTTTTTTTTTTCATTCTCAGAATATATTGCAGTGTCGCACAGGAACCGTAACTTGCTCCTGTACTTCTCTAAAGCTGAAGAATAGCTCTGAGTCTGCAACTGTGTTTCTTGCGATCACCGGAGCCGCGTGCTCCATAATTTGTACCAAAAAGCAAACTGTACCCCTTGAAATATCTGCAGTGTTCCAGTTGTTCACCCGTAATTAGAACAGGCTGAAAAATGTTGCCGGTAATTTTAACTCAGAGTGATCTTTACCCCAGTTTCTCTGAGTATAATCCATCCTGGACATAGCTGGTTCGTTTGTCCCATATTTGTAATAACGGTCTTTCTGTATTTTTACCAGCCATCCTGCCAATGTTTTCGTAAGCCCGTTTTAACACTGCTCTACTCACAGGCTGCATATCTAATTTCTGCCAAAATTGCAAAGCAGTCTTCTTATTCTCTAAATGGAGAAGTATTGGTATTAATTTTGATCTGCATTCTGCACCCCCATTTATTCTATGTATGTCCTGTCTTGGCATAAGGTAATCCATGATTATACACTTTTTAAGAGACATATTTCTCATTTGTCTCCCCTTTTCCCCATTTATTTTTATTTGCTTTGCATGTCTGCAAACTTTATAGCTCTTTGGTCCTCTTTCTTATAAATATAGCTGTCCCATTTTTAGATAATCTTAGGCAAACTCCCCAAAGCAAAGTTCCAGATCAAATGGTACTCACCTGCCTTAGAACGTCAGCGGATAAACATTCCATAGTTTCTAGACACCTTGATGGCTCAGTTGGCTTGCTTTTGTTGAATTAGAATGGAGTTCCTTCTGTGCCAGTGGCAAGGGATGCCTTTGGGGAAATTTTAAATCTTCCCTTGGTTAGAGAGAGGGGTCTGTTGGTTTTCCTGTACAGCTAGTATGAACTCAGGTAGTAATTCACATTACTAGAAGGGCTGACTAATTTGTTGCTAACTTAGTGGGTGATGATGTGTCACAACTCCTACCAGATGCCTCTTTTAACACACCGATGGGGTCGTTTTGGCTTTTACAGAACATTTGCATCGTTGGTCAGAAGCTGGGGTTCAGGTATTGGCTTGTTCTTTAAATGTTTGTCTTGGGAAGATTTTGTAAGGTTAGAGGCAGGGAATGGTGCTCACTTGGTTAGATTTGAGAAATGGCCTAGAACTGGGGTTTAAGAACAGCTGCAGCCAACTGAATTGTTGAGGTGCTTTCCCATTTTAAACAGTGCTGAACTGTTGGCTTGAATGATAATGGAGTTAGGCATTTCATTTGAAAGTATTCGAAGGCACATCAGTAAAGATCAGTATTTGATCAGTAAAGATTGAATAGCATGCTTCTAAGAATATGAAGTGACATTAAGGGGAAGCTTTGGTGCAGCAGCGGGCACTGAACACGTTTAAATTCCTTTTTTAGTTGGGGTTTTTTACATCTGTGTTCAACTCTGCCATTAAAAGCACTGGGAGTTGGGTTTTTTAAAAGAGACACATGGCTTTTCTTGGAACGTTTGCTTGCTTTTTATGTTACATCCAGAATACATTTTAATAACCTTTCTCTGGAGAGAAAGTTTATGTTAAGCTCGTAGACATCTGAAGCTTTTCTTGTAACTTCTTGCTTTCTGCTGCAAACTTGACTCTTTTATTTTTTTCATTACATGGATATTATTTGTTAGACTGATACTGAATATGGGTCCAGCTCTGTTAAGTCTAGAGAGGGTATTGTTGGTTGCCATTTTAAGGTCATTTCTGTGCAGATCAATCTCAGTTGCTGGCAAAACTTGTTCAGGTGGTAGTAATATCCTGAACATAGCTCTCCTCTTTCATGTGAAGAAACTTGACTTGATCACTAACCCTAACTTTATTACTAATGTGAAACATTCCCAATCTGGCATGGT